AGTCCCTGAGTCTCTGGACTAGTTCCTCTTTAGTGCCTCAAGCAACGAGGCTTTCCTTTCCCCAGGGTCAGAGGCTCATAAAATGTTTTAATGCAAAGGGACTCTGATAATTATCTCTTTATGGACTTCTTTGTGAATATTTTTGATCTTCTCTTACTATATCATTCTTGCATTTTAAACTTCAATTCACTAAAGATTTATTAAGTGTCCATTGTCCATACCATCCTATACTATTCACTGACAGAGGTCCCTGCCCTCCTGGACCTTACAATCTAGTCTCTCCATATGCATACAGCACCTGGGGCTCTCCTTCTTCTGTGAATTCCCATGACTCCTCGCCCGTGGTTGGAGGCTTATCATGAGTCTGAACAAAGGATAAACCGCAACCACATGTAATTCAACAGCACAGCAAAGTAAGTGACCAAAGAGTCTCCCCAGACAAATTAGGGGACACTCACCTATAGGTAAGCAGATGACCTGTGGGAAAGAGGGAATATACGGGAGCATGAATGGAGAAGCATATAGGTAGGCACATGCATGGGCAGAGAAGACACAAGGGGAGCATTCATGGATGGAGCAGACATGGCAAGGACATATGCTGCTTCTGTGAAATGCCCCTGATATCCTCTGGTGATATCTCTGAGAAAGCAGCTTTATTCACTGAGCTGGGGGACTCTACTGCTTGGTTTTAGGCCCTCTGCTGCCCTATTGGAGGGGCTGTTCTATCTCTTCCTGCTGGGAGAAAGTTATTTCTTGGAGCCCTATCCTCATAGGCTATTTAGGTCACAGTCAACCAAGGAGCCAGTAGACACCCTCAGGCTTAGATTGTTGGGCATTTAACTTCATTGCTTCTGCCTCAGGCAGCCTCTCTGTGGGTTCAGTCTACTTTCTGACTTGCAAAGAGAAAGTTCCTTTCAACTTCTTTACATTTTCATGATGGCAATTATTCTCCATGCATATAGCATGAGGGTAAGACCGAAAAGGGCCTGGGTGGAACTGGCTTTGCCTTATATAGTCCCTCCCCTCCCCTCCCCTCTTTTACTCCCCCCCCCCCACACACACAGTCCCTGGTTTCAGTGCCAGGGCAGAGAGGGCAGCTGTATTTTGCAAACACAGGAGGGACCAAAGGAGCAAGATTTGTGTGGCAGTGTGGCTGTGGGTCCTAACCATGTCTTAGTAGTAGAGAGGAGAGCCAAGGTTGGGCCCTGAGACTGACTTTAGAATAAAACAGTAAGAAAAACCTAAGGCTTGGGGCATCATTCCTCATACCTCAGGACTACAACTTGATTATACTTATAGCTGCTAAGAGCAAAATAAAACAGAAAAACAAATAAAAGGGAGTAAGCAAAGGAGAAAGAACTCAAGGGGAGAGAGAAGATCTGGGTTCATATTCAGAGGAAGATAAAAAAGCCACTCCTTTTTCAATGAGAAAAGTCAAATGGTCCCAAGCACAAAAAGAATTCTTAGAAGAACTTAAAAAAATCAAATAAAAGAAATCTAGGAAAAATTAGAAAAAAAAAATAAGAGCAATCCAAGAAAATCATGAAAAGAAAGTCAATCAACTGGAAATAGAGAATCAAAAACTTAAGGAAGAAAATAATTCCTTGAAAACTAGAATTGGGCAAGGTGAAGCTAATGACATTCTAAAACACCAAGAAATCATAAAACAAAATCAAAAGAAGGAAAAAATACAAGAGAAAGTAAAATGTCTCATCAGAAAAACAACTGATCTGGAGAACAGATTGAGGAGAAACAATATAAGAATAGTTGAAAATTATGATAAAAAGAGAATCTTGATCCAATATTAGAAGAAATTATAAAGGAAAATTGCCCAAACAAGAAGGCAAAACAGAAACAGAAAAAGTCCTCCAGAAAATTTACATGAATATCATAGCCTAGTTTCAAAGCTCCCAGGTTAAGGACAAAATATTGGAAGCAACAAGGAAAAAAAAAACAATTAAAATATCATGGAGCTACAGTAAAGATTACACAAGACCTAGCAGCTACTAAATTGAAGGACCATAGGTCTTCGAATATTATATTCCCTAGAGCAAAAGAGCTGGGATTGGGTCCAAGGGTAATTTACCCAGTAAAGTATAATCCTGAATCCTCTTTAGTGCCTCAGGCAATGAGGCTTTCCTTTTCCCCAGGGCCAGAGGCTCATAGAATGTTTCTGCTTGAAGGAAACCTTGAAAAATCACCTCTTTGAAGCCTTTGCACACTTACTCCTCGTCAACATTTCTGATCTTCCCTTACTGTATAATTCTGGCATGCTAAACTCCAGTAAAGATTTATTAAGTTTCTACTGCCTACTCTGTTGAAGAACCATAGGTCTTGGAATACTGTATTTCTTAGAGCAAAAAAGCTGGGGTTAAGACCAAGGGTAACTTACCCAGCAAAGTTAAGTATAATCCTGAATGGGAAAAAAAAATGAATATTTAAGGAACTGAAAAATTTTCAGGTTTTTGTGACAAAAACCCCAGGACTTAAGGGAAAAGTTGACCTATAACCTCCAAGAGAAATATAAGGTAAACATTAAAGACCAATTATAAGGGACTCAGGTCAAATATTTTACTTCATATATATGTAAATATTAGCAGTAGTCATGATTGTTATCACTATTTGAGTAGTTGGAAAGAAAAGCTTGGGCTGAGCTGAGTATGATGAAGTGATTCTAAAAACTAGGGAGAGAGAAAGGAGTAATTATCTCATACAAATGAGACATAAAAGGAAAAATTGATAAAGAAGAAGCTCGTGTGGGGAGAGCTAGTAATGCTGGAACCTTACTCTCATCAAGAATGGGTTAAAGAGGAAACAATATATACATCTAGAAGAGTATAAAAGTCTTCTAAATTCAGAAAGAAACAAGAGTGGCAAGGGGCTATGGTCCGGGGAGAAGACAAGGGACTGACTCTTAGACAGGTGCGTAGGTTGAGGAATAAGAGGGCAAGTAGTGGGTAGAAGTAAAGCAGAGAAGTGAGGAGAGATATGATAAACAGAGTGAGAAAAAATAGGAAGGAGGAAAATACCCAGCAAGTAATTTTAGCTTAGAATGTCCATGGGATGAATTAACCCCTAAAATGGAAACGGATAGCAGATTTAAATTTGAATTCAACAATATGTGCTTTCAGGAAACATTCTAAAAATGAGAGATACACACAAAGACAAAATAAAGGGCAGGAATAGAATTTAGTATGTCAAAAAAAGCAAGGATAGTAATCATGATCTTAGACAAAGTTAAAATAGATTTAATCAAAAGTGAAAAATAGAGAAACCACTATGTATCAGCAATATTATTCAATACTGTTATTGACCATTTAAAATAACTAGACAGCATAAAATACCTGAGTGTATACCTGCCAAAACAGACATAGGAACTATATGAACGTAAACATAAAACACTTTTTATACAACTAAACACAGATCAAAATAATTGAAGTAATATTTATTGTTCATGGATAGGTAAAGCCAGTATAATTTTTAAGTGACAATTTTACTTAACTAATCTATTTATTCAATATCATCCCAATTGAATTACTAAAAAAAATTTTTTTTGCTGAGTTAGAAAAAAGAATTACATAATTAATTTGGAGGAACAAAAAATAAGGAACTTGAAAGAAACCAGGGAAAAAAGATGTAAAGGAAGTAGATTCACCAGTATAAGACCTTAAACTATATTATAAGATGAAAGCATTGTTGAAGTGTAAAATGAACAATTTCAATTACTTTAAATTAAAATTTTCTTGAATAAATAAAAACTATGTAGCCAAGAATAGAAGGAATGCAGAAAATTGGGGAAAAACTCTCAATCTCTCAGATAGGATGTAATTGGGTTGGAATATTGCTGTGGTATAGGACATGATGAGCTGGTTGATTTAGAAAGACTTGGACATATGAAGGAAGATGCTATCCACCTTCTGAAAAACAGATGACAAACGTAAATAAACGTAGTATGGTCTTACATATATGTGTATGAGAGTATATGTATGCATATGTATATGTCTATAGATAGCTATGCATACATGTATGTATGCGTATGTATATATATATGTGTGTATATACAAGAAAGTAAAGATAAGTTGGGCAGCTTTGAAAACAATGCATAGTATTTATTATATAGGATAAGTTGAAATGGAAATTTATTGTTTTACATTGAATCCTCTCATGTCCTGCTCTGTTCATGTCAATTTTTTTTCTCTTTTCTCATTTTTTATTTAAGTGTAAAATAAAAAAAATTTATAAAAAATTTTTTTCAAAAAAGATACAATAACCCTTTGGGTGAGGAGACATCTGTTTTGTTCTAGATGTGTCACCCACTTTTTCTTTTTTCTTTTTCTTTTTTAACTTGAGACTTAAATACACAATTAAAAAGAAAAAGAAACATTATAAACTTAAATATTAAAACTTAAATACAAAATAATAGAAAAAAGCATGCCATGTGCACAGAAGAATGTAAGATATATATATATCTATTCAAGGGATTCAAAATATATAGCAACAAATTTACATTTCAAGAAAGCTTATGTAATAAGTACTACACTTGTGCTGAGAGCTGTCCATCTTTTCTTTGCTTCCTTGTAAGTTTTCTTTTTTTCTCTGCTGTGCACTTTTTGCTTTGTCCAATTTTTTTTCTTCTGCACACACACCCTGGGAACCATGACCCCATTATAACAAATGCTGTACCATCTTAAGGTATTTCCCCCCACATTAGAATCCTGTTTCCGTTTAAAGCCCTTCAGAACCCAGCCCCTCCTGACTTTCCAGTCTTCTCACTCCTCAATGCCCTCCACATGCTCTAGGAGCCTGTCACATTGACCTCCATGCTGTTTCTCCCGTAGGATCCTCCACCTCATCTCCAGGCCTTTTCAATGTCTGCTGCCCCATGCCTTCATCTCTACCTCCTTCTTTCCTCCTTCCTCCCTCCCTTCTTTCCCTTTTCCTTAATTTTTTTTCTTGCTACCAAACCCTGTATTTCCTTTCAATTCTAGGCCCTGACTCACCTTCCTCCACCTCCATCTGTCCTCCCTCACGGCCCCGCCTTCCCCCGTGACTCCTCCCCGTGGCCCCTCCCCTCGTCACTCTCCTCCCCCGCCCCCTCGCGCAGGCGCCTCGGGCACCAGGGAAGGGCCTGACCAAGGGGAAGCTCATACCAAGCTCTATGGGGCCGATGTCGGGGAGAATGCGCGGGCTTCCTGGAGCACGAGGCCAGCGCCGAGGTCTTCCTGGGGACCACCCCGGGGCACACCATCCACGCGCTTTCCCCGCCCCGGGAGCTGGATCCCGTGCACGTGGTGCGGGAGAGGACGAGGCCAAGGCCGAGGCTTCAGCCCTGCCCACCGCTAGGATCCGGGAGCACCGCCCAGGGGCCCGAAGGTCCGAGTGCACCACGTGGCTCGTGACGAGCCCCTCCCCCTCTCCCGAGGGCTTGGGGTTTGGATCCAGCTGCCCAAGGCTGGGGGCCAGAAAACCAGGCCCTAACTATTTGGACAAGTGGGCAGGTGATGGGGTCCTGGAGAAGACACGGGAGGGAGAGGCGAGAAGAGGAAGCGGGATGACCCGGATGGAGCAGCGGGAGGTGCCCCCTCCCCCTCCTCCTCCCTCCTCCTTCCTCTCCCCCTCCCTAGGGCACAGACCCAAAATCTGGAAGGAGGAGCCAGGCCCCAACCACGAGAAGCACACGTGCGCAGGCCGGGCCAAGGGGTCCAGGGCCTGGGATGATGCCCTCCTGCCCAGGTCACCTGGCCCTGCCAGGCCGAGGCCAGAGAGGGCTGAGGAGCCGGGCCACTGGGCAGAGGCCCTCCCGCAGCAGCAGGAAGGAGCCCGGAGAGGAGAAGGGCCCAGGGTCAGGAGGAGCCCAAGTTGAGAAAAGCCTTTTGGGGAGGGCGGGCTGGTGGGGGCAGGGGCACCTCCCAGAGAAGCCACGGAGCGCTGTGGGCGTCGGAACTGTCCAGTTGGGGTGGACCCAGGCCCACTGGGCTGTGGGGCTTAGCAAGATCTCTCCGCCAACCGGTTAATGGATATTAAAAACAAACAAACAAAAAAATCCCCAAAGTGAGCTACCGTATGTTATTGCTTCCATAAGCAATGTTTCTCTATTTAAAAACAAAAACAAAAAAAAACTTTTGTTAGCATATAAATGGAAAGAGAGAAGACTATGTAGTTGGTTCTAATAATTTTTTCTTATTGCCTGTTGCAGATTCACTACCTTTAATTTTGGTAATTTGACTTTTTTTTTTTTAAATCAGCTTGGCTAAAGGTTTATTGATTTTATTGGTCTTCTCAAAGAATCAGCCCTCAGCTTCCTTTTATCATTTCTATAGTGTTTTTTCCCATTATAACTTTCTTTTCTGAGTACTTTTATGCTTAGTTTGTGTTTGATGATGTTCTAGGGTCTTTTTAATTATTACATGTTCCATTTATTATTCCTCTTTTTAAAGTTTGGTAATATATTTTTATACACGGTTTATGGGCATCCTAAAATTTGGGGTATATTGTATCATTATTCTCCTCTTTCACACAGTTGTTAATTGTTTCTATGATTTATTCATTCATTCAGGATATCAGTACTCTCAAATTTTGCCTTTTGTTCCTTGTATTAATTATTATTTTTAATTGCATTATGGTCTAAAAGGATTGCTTGAACATTCTGCTTTTTTTATATTTATTTATAATTTTTCTGTGCCCATCGTTTACTTTTGTAAAAGTAACAGGAAATGCTGAGAATGTGTATTTTCTTTAGTGTTACCATTCAGAAAATGGCAATCATCTTTTTTTTTTAATTTTATTTCTTTTACATTTTGAGTTCTGAGCTGCATAGGTCCTTTGTAGTTGATTTTAATACTCATTACTCACAATATCATAGTCATTTACAGTTCCTCTTTGAACAATATTGCTGTTATTTTATACAATGTTCTCTTGGTCTGCTCATTTCACTCTCAATTATTTCATGCAAGTCTTTCCATATTTTTCTAAAATTAATCTGCTTGTCATTTCTTACAGCCTAATAATATTCCATCATAATCATGTACCACAACTTATTCAGCCATTCCCCATTTGATAGGCATCTCCTCAATTTCCAGTTCTTTGCCAACACACAGAGAGCTGCCAAAAATATTGGAAAATACAGGTTCTTATAGCTCTTTGGGCAAAATTCCGGATTGCTCTCTAAAATGTTTGGGTCAGTTCACAGTTCCATCAGCAGTGTATTAGTGTCTCAGTTTTTCCAGATCCCCTCCAACATTTGTTATTTTCCCCTTCTGTCATTTTAGCCAATCTGATAGGTGTGAGATGGTACCTCAAAGTAGTTTTAATTTGCATTTTTCTAATCATTTATGATTTAGAGCATTTTTTCATATGACTAAATATAGCTTTGATTTTTTTCCTCCAAAAACTTCCTACTTATATCCTTTGACCATTTACCAATTGGTGAAGACTCATATTCTTACAAACTTCCCAAAGTTCTCTGTGTATTTGAGAGAAGAGGGCTTTATCTAAGAATCTTTCCATGAAAAAAATTCCCCCAATTTTCTGCTTGCCTTCTAATCTTGGGTACATTGGTTTTATTTGTACAAAATCTTTTTAATTTAATGTAATCAAAGTTACCCGTTTTATATTTCACAAGTCTATCTGTAAGCATAAATTCTTCTCTTATGCATAAATCTGAAAGGTAATATGTTCCATTTTGTTCTCATTTACTTATGATACATCCCTTTATGTTTGGATCATATATCCATTGTAACCATATCTTGGTAAATGGTGTAAGATATTGGTCTATACCTAGTTTCTGCCAGACTGCTTCCAGTTTTCCCAACAAATTTACCAAATAGTAAATTCTCATCCCCAAAACTTAAATCTTTACATTTATCAAACACAAGGTTTTTATAATGTGCATCAGCCTTTCAAATCTAATTTGTCCTATGGCCATATCAGTTTTATATATTCCTAATTTCTATTTCTGTTAGATTTATCATGCCGCATGAGACATATAAAAGTCCTACAATTGTTAAGATTACTTTTTTTGGTCTATTTTCTATCTTGCTTACATTTATGAATTTAGATGCAATATACCATTTTGTGCAATATACCATTTTGTGTCACTCAGTGGTGACAATAATTTCATCTGATGCATAGTAAGTTTTGTACCAGTCTCTCATTTTCATTCTCTGTGTAGTTTTATTTTTTACACGTGTGCTTTATATGCAACAAATTGCTGGGCCATGTGTTCTTAACCATTCTCCCATTCTCTTCTTTTTATTGAATTTTAAAACCCAGATACATTTATGGTTATAATTGTTAAATGTACATCTTCTTCTATTTGTTTCTTTTGTCTTGATTTTTGTCTCCTTTCGAGTTAATATTTTGTCTCTGAGATTAACTTTCCTTGTAGTAATTTGATGCTTTTCTGATTCCACAAGCTTTCTCTCTCACTTCTGATTACCACCTCCTCAAAGTTAATTGAATTAACTTAAATTGTTGATTTCTCTTTCTTTGTCTATGCCTCCCCAGATCTCTGACCTTGCCCTTTCTTCAACCAGATAAATGTGTCATTTGAAATCTTGCCTCCCCATTCCAGCACCACAGCCAACATTTTAGCTTAAATAATAATCTTTTGTGGTGCTTTTTTCCAAGAAGTTTTCATTTATTATGTCCTCAATATTCCTATCTTTTCTGAGTTGTTTTCTATCATGTATGGGACATGAATATACAATATATAATATTTATGTTATTTTATATGTGCACACACATATAACCCATTTACATAAATACATTGGGGGGAAGGAGAGAGAGAGAATACAGGGTAAGGTGTAAGTGTGATAATAGATATAAAATACTTTGCCAAACACATATATGCATATACATTAATTATCATCATTGTTATTAGCCTACATTTGCCAGGGCTAAGTCTGGTGATGATTTCATTCTCTGAGCCTTCTATTGCACTCCCTCTGAACTCAAGTAATATGTAAAAGAATGTGCCAGTAAATATTAACAGCTGGTTTCTCCAGGAAAAAAAAAATGTATGCATACACTTTAAAGTATAATCTTACTTGTTTTAACTTTTGACAGCAAAGGAAATGAATAAAGCAGCTTGACATTACTTGTGATTCAAACAATGTTAGTTGTCACCAAATTGACTTTACTATGGTATAAATTTCACAAATAAATGCTGTTTTTCCTTGTAATTTTATATTGAATTCATTGTTGTTATTCAGTTCTTTTAGCTGTGACTAATTCTTCATGACCCCATTTGGTGTTTTCTTGGCAAAGAAACTGGAGTGGTTTGCCATCTCCTCTAGCTCATTTTACAGATGAGGAAACTGAGGCAAACAGGATTCAGTGACTTGCCCAGGGTCACACAGCCAGTGGGTGTCTGAAGCCATATTTGAACTCAGGAAGATGAATCTTCCTAATTCCAAGATGAGTGCTCTATCCACTTGGCCACCTAACTGCCCATGAATTCATTAAGAAACCTCAAGTCTGCAGCAAAAGCTAATTTTCAGAAACATTCAGTGTTTGATAATGATGGTTGAGGATGGTTCTCATGCAGAAAAAAATCTTGGCCTTTAGCTCACAAAATAATAATAAAACTTTTTTTTCTCTCTTCTTGTTTTGACCTGATGGGTATACACTCACTACTCCAGGCCATCTTATCATCTGCCTGCCATATGCATAACTACTCATTTCCAACCCCAATCTCTTTCCACCCCGCTTTCTTTGACTACCACTTGCCTATAAATGTTGTCTTCCTATGTAAGAATGTAAGCTCCTTAAGGGCAGGAACTGTGTCTCTTTTTATATTTGTTCCCAGGACTAAGCAAAATGTGTGACACATGGTAAGTCCTTGCCAAATGCTTTATCTTTCTTTCTTCCTTCCTTCCTTCCTTCCTTCCTTCCTTCCTTCCTTCCTTCCTTTCCTTCCTTCCTTCCTTCCTTCCTTCCTTTCTTCCATCCTTCCCACCTTTTTTACCTTATTCAACTTATCCAATCATGTTCACCTGGGTCGTATTCCTGGCTTTTCCTACCTTGTTGCTAGTCTTGACCCATCATTGGTGCCATAACGTAGTATAGGGCTGATGAAGAGTCCTTAGTTTTGTAGATGATGTAGTGCCTGCCGAGTGGTAGGAAGGCAATTATATGGCATATTTTAA